TAACATTAATAAATAAATCAATATTGTGCAATAAATGAGATATACAATCTACATTAATACAAAGGTTTTGCTCTCAGAGCCCCATATTTTTCCGAACTAGGGAAGTAAAAAAAAAACCCAGCCAATGGGTCCATGCAGATGTAAATTACTGTTTGTAATAAAGCATAGGTGGACACTACAGTTTTCTCCTCTAGCAAATGTCAGGGCTAAAAACTTGAGGTTATCAGACGTGGCAGCAGGGCTTAATTTTCACTGCCTTATCTTCCTAAACCTTATTACTGGTGATATGACTATTTTTTTTTGCCTCGGCTGTGCTGAGGATTCTCATAGTTGCAATTTGCTGTGTTTGTGTCTCATTATGGGAGGGGGAGGGGAGAGAGGTACGAAAGAGGCTAGATATTTAGCAGATGCCTTCAGTAACAAAGGTATTGCGAGAAATATCTTATTTTAAAAGCAGTCTGGAACCCAGGAAGATTTTAGTAAAAATCCATTCATTTACAAGATTTCAGCATTTTATTTAGGGTGTCTTTAAAAGCGCGGATTGTGTATTTTATGCCACGCTGTTATATTGCAGGGAGACTGAAGAATAGTTTTTACTTAAGGAAAAAAAGAATTGGCTACGATGTGGTGTCCTTTCTTCTTTTAATAATGCAACTGTCACGTTGCCCAGATTTCTATGTGCCATATTTTCATAGAAAGAGTGGGCGTCTGGGCTGAGGGCTCAGATTCCCTGGATTTTTTTGACGGAGGGCGGGCGGGGGGGTAGGGAGTGGAAACAAGCATACTGTTGGCATTATGCCTTTTCCTAAATATGAAAGCTTATAAAATAAACAAAATAGCATGCTGGCCATTTCTTCAAGGGTTATTTCTGAGCGTGGGGATCTCACAGTAGTACTGACTGTACTCCCAGCTTCGCCCGAAGCCTCAGCCCTTCCTCTATCGTATTTCTATATTTCTGTGGACACAGAAGTGCGTATCTGGTACGATGAGATTTTAGCATGCAGATCGGTAGCCGATGCAGCCCCCAGCCTCGGTATTTGTGCTGCACATTTATCCTTCGGCAGATTCCTGTCGCATTTGTAGTTTAATCAGAAAATAAGCAAATGCCATTTTCGTTCTCTGTAAAGGACAAGCCCAAAGACACTTGGAAATAGCTCACAGCCTTTTCTGTCTAGAGAAATAAAATAGAGAAAGGGGGGAAAAAAAAAAAAAAAAAAAAAAAAAAAAGCGCGGCGTTTCCATATTCCGATTTAGGTGCTTTTTTTTGTTTGTTTGGGTTTGTTGGTTTTGTTTTGTTTTGTTTTTCAATTAACAACACATCCTGGCTCCCATCACTCGTTCACATTAGCTGAGATCGGCCTCATTGTAATTGCGAGGAGTTAAAGCACCTCTTATGAAGCCTAATGGTTTTGAGGTTGGCGTGGATTCTCACAAGGAGCACTCTCACGCCAAGGAAAACAAACACACACAAAATCTTCTCTGAAGATTTCCCTCCCAAAATGGGTATCTCCACCGAGAGACCAGGGGATTTTCCTTCGAGATTCGGCTGCGCCTGCAAGGGCTACCTTTGGCGTCAGGGATCCCAAGGATTTCAGATTGCACAATGCCGTTTTATTACCGACGGAAAGGCTATTTCTAGGAAAGTGTTAACAATGAACTTCTTAAAAAAAAAAAAAAACAAAAAAAACCCACCCAAAAAAAAAAAAAAAAACAAAAAAAACCAACAACCCAGCAGACAAAGTGCCAAGAAATGCTTTCACGAGAGACGGGGCTTTAAAAAAACAAGGAATATGGCTGAGCCAACGTGAAATAGATTTCGATGAATTCTGCAAATAAGCAGAAAGCAGCGAAGCCGTTTCTTACATCAGATTCTGACCAAAAGTGCGCACTGGAGGGAAAAAGTGAAACAGAAAACCAGAAAAACGGAACGTGCTTTGTCACTGGAGAGCGTCCAGGAAATTCATAAGCTTCACTTTAATTTTCTAATCTCTAGTTTCATTTTAATAGATCTCCATAGTACTTTTAAGGAGAGGGATTTCATTCGGCAATGCCTTGGCAAGGTGATGTTCGGATATTAAATATATCTTCTTTTCGCTTTATTGTTTTTGTCTTTCTTTACGAAAATAAGCACTCTCAGCAGCTAACGTTACTCTCGCCGTTAAATAAAATATGTTTTTAAAATTATGCTTCCTGTACCTAGTGGTTTATTTAAGAAAAGCCTCGAGTAAGAATCGAAGATAAACTGTGGAAATGCATGTTTGTTATATTACTTTTGTTCCATCTGCCTTGAGGCTCTCCTTAAAGGAGTAAGTAGATTTTCTTTCTAGGGAACGAATTCTGAATACCACCGGGTTGTTCCTTTTTTCTTTCTAAAAATTATGGGGTTTTTTTTAGAGCTCGGATGCATTATAAAAGATTACGACCAAAAAAAAATTGTTAAAGTGTCGTATTTCTCCAGCACGTCACAATTATGGGTTATTTGTTTAATAAATCTTTTTGACGCTTTATTTTCTCATTTGGAAGGCCCTGAAATCTTATCGTTACTTATATATTAGATATTTTATTAGCAGTGGAATTATTATTAGGGTGAAAAGAGGCTCAAAGAGCAGGCTGGCGGCAGGCATTGCAGCGCATGGGCGCGCCCTCCTGTGGCCGCTGGCCGCCGAGCACCGGGGGATTCCCTCCTCTCCCAGGTCTTTCTCCTCAGCTCAATTTGCTCACAGTCACGGGTTTCTTCCTTTCTTTTTAAATAGAAACTTAAAACTGCTATCATTGAGCATTTGTGCAAGATTAATACTAGGGTGTTCTGGTTTCCGCGGTCCTCTTTTGCGGTGCCTTAGCGTTTTAAAGACGGATTAATCCGCTAAAATAGACAGTTAAAGCACTGCAGGGAACAGAAAAGCAAACGACTCATTCTCGCCCTGTGGATTAAGGCTCGGGAGAGACAAGAGAATATTACGATAAGGTCAGGCGAAATGCTCTGAGAAATTCCCCGCGACTTCGCGCATTTCCAAATAATGGGCTTTATGGGGAAACGCAGATTCGCAGAAAAATCTGCTTATAAATATAATCTTTCTCCCTAAATTGCGAAACATTTCCTACATCCCCCTATATTTTTTTTAGCGAAAAAAAAAACTATTTTCTTTTTTTTTTTTTTGACTAAAAAGAAGGCGATTTGGGGCTAATTCCCGGGGCGCGGAAGAGAAAGGCCGGGGAAGCGGGGAACCCTCCGTGCTCCGGCTGGCGGGGACCGGAGCGGGGCATGCTCCCCGCACGCCGCAGAGCTCACCTCGACCCAGCTGGGATGTTCTTTGCGTTATGATGCGTTTGCTAATACGGCAGCTATGCGGTAATAAGTGTGTGTGTGGTGGTGCGTGTGTGTGAGAGAGAGGGAGACAGACAGAGAGAGAGAGAGAGAGAGAGGGTGGTGGTTGAAAATAACAGAGGAACCTTAAGGCGCCTAATTATTCAGAAAGGTTAAAGGTGATGACCTTGACATTTTGGAAGTTCAAAGGCATACACTTATGTTTTTCTTGCTAAAGGATTTTTTTTTTTTTTTTTTTTTTTTTTTGTCATGCCTCCCTCTGCTTCCAGGTCTCGATTTTTTGAATTCTCGATCTTTTCCTGACTTACGTGGGCACTTTTGCCTTCCCTGCATGCGAGCGTAGCGAGAGCCGCTTCGTCCTATTCAAAAAAGGCAAATTCTTTTCTCACTCCTCGTCTTTATTGCACATTGCGGAAATCTCTTTTTCACCCACCAGAAGGTGTATAATATAACCTAATTAAGCTGTTTAGAACCTCGGGTTTTATGGTGTTGTCTAGACAGTTCAAGGTTTTGTAAACAGCCCAGCCAGGTCACGCAAGATAAAGCGGCGAGGCGCGGAGCGGACCTCCGCC